GGGCACCCGAGGCGCCCGTCGAAGCCTCGCCCGTTCCAGCATAGTTGGCGCCCATAACATTGCCGAAGATGCCAGCACTAAAGTAGACGAGGAAAAAGCGGACGGGCCCAATGGCCATCTCCATTTCTTTGCCGATGGTCATCTGCAGGAGCATGTTGACTCCGATATGGATGAGACCGGCGTGCAGGAAGATTGGCGTGATGAAGCGGAACCACTGATTGGGTTCACCCTTCTCGTTGGGGTCCTGAGGGTTGGGGACGCCGCCAAAGCCGCACAGCTCACCGAGGCTGCAGCGGTTCGACTCGTCGTTCTGGTCGTTCGAAGTCGTGTTGGGGCAGGGCCACCAAATGGGCTGTTGAGCTTCCTTGATGGCCTCGACGGTGTGCATGCAGGGCACATAACGAGCACCCATGTTGATGTTGACGTAGAAAGAGGGGCCGATCATGGGGTTGAAGGAGGGTTTGATCATGATGGGAGAGCCTGTCAGAGTCGCTGTTCCTGGGTTAGCACAAGGATCGAGAGCAGAGGCACTAGTTGTTTCCCCCAACATACCATTTCTCACGATCTGACCGATAAACACACCAACTTGCGCGATCGTCAAGATGTAGACGACCCAGGCGATGCGCTTCTTGTCGGCACCCAGCATCCCCAGCTGGCCGAAGCCGACCCTTCTAGACTTCTTTCGCCTGCTTGAGCCTGGGGCTTCGTACACATGATCGTTCATCTCTACATCCTTGGCCGGCGGCTGATCATGCGGTAGGCTCGGGTTGTGGCCCTGGTTCTGAAGTGGAATGTCATCGGCGAAGTGCGCCTGCGCGGGCACGGCGGATGCTGGTGAGGGCGAGGACTGGTAAGGCTGCTGATGCTGCTGCTGCTGCTGCGACTGCTGGCCGTGGTAGGCCGTGTCAAAGTGGCCGTAAGGGCCGGCCTGTTGGCGCGGCATATTGTTGTTGTCGTAGGCGTTGTGGCGGAAGCCGTTCTGTGTCGAGTCTGTCGGGTAGGCCGGGTCGTCGAAGACGGTGTCGAAGGGGGAGACGGTCTGGGCGCGATGCGGTTGGCTGTTGCTGCTGGGCGCGGCATACGCCGAGGCGGAAGAGTAGGGAGGCGCGGGCGTCGACGCTATAGACGGCGTGTAGGTGCCCTGAGCGTGTCCGTAGTAGGGAGACTGCGAGGCGCCACCGGGAGATGGCGGGCGATTGCCATGGTAATAGTCGTTGGAGGCCATATCGTGACTTGTGTGTGTGTGTGTGTGGTTGCTTCTTTCGAAAACGAGCGACAAACAGCGAGCGAAGCGTTCAATGCGAACCAGGACGGTGGTTGAATGTCGTCCGGGAAATTTCGCTTGTAAAGCAAGGGGAAAAGAGCCTGATGGGCGGCGGGATTAGAGGCACGGGGTCTTGAAGGGAAATAAGGCGTGGAGGTGCGTCCAGGAATGTAAAGAAGCTAAAAGGTGTAATGGTGGTCGGGTGCCTGAAGAGGGACAAGGCACGGGCAAGGCGGGCCAGAACACGGGGTCTTTTCCAGGTGCAGGTGTGCTAGGTTCCCCAGCTGTGACGTCGAAGTGTCCTAGGTGGCCCAGGGGCCAACGTGGCGCGGTATGTTGACGGGACTTCTCTCGATGGGCCCGAGTGCAGGCTGACGACGCTGGTGGAGTTACTTCTTCCTGGTTGGTTTTAATAATTTTTTGTTTAATTTTTTAATAATTTTTTTTTTTGCTGACTCTGGAAGTGTCTGTTATGAGGTAGGAAGAGATAGCAAGAGAAACCAGGAGAGAAAGGACGCTCTGGACGGGCAAGAAGCATGACTGTCCGAGACCTGATCGATTGATGGCCTGCCTCCGAGGTACCTGGGTACGTCGGTATTGTCTTTGGGCGTCGTGAAGTGGCTGGCGACGCCGGAGGGCTGTGCAAGGCAGTTGGTGCCTCTGGCTCAGACTTGGGTGCTCTTCAGTGGCTGCACATGCCAAGCTGCTTCTAAAAGTGGCACACAAACGGGAAAGCCAGAGGCATCAGCCAGTGAGATGGCGCCGCTAGCTATGCACATGTATGCCGGTGGAGGTGCGACCACCAGCCGCGAGTTTCAGATGCTTCATTATGCACCCTGACATTCTGCATCAACTGGCGAGTCAGGACCCAGCACCGCCCGCCGCATCGCATGAAGCCTACCTCCCTCTGCCTACCTGCCTTACCTTACACCGACATGATATATCACCGAACCAGTGACCACCCGCTTGCCCGTTGATCGCCGCTCTGCCCTCTTTCGTCTGGCCTCCCATTTGAGAGAGCAAGCGGTCGGCTCGTCCCCACGGCCATGTCCACAGCGGTTGCACCACCGCCGGACATCCCGTCTCGGCGAACCCACAGTGGCTGGCTTGGCCACACAAGGACAGATCAGTGGGCGGACCCCACCACCTCAGGTCCCCTGAGGGTAGGTAGGTACGGTACCCAGGTGGGTAGGTACCTTACGACGGCAGAGGCTCAGCACGCGTCTCTCGGCATCGGCAATGCGAGCACAGCTGCCCGTGGCGCAGCATGCACAGCAGACACACCGCACGCCTGTACAGTACCGATGGAGCAACGGGCTTGTCAGACTGCCTTGGGATGGCGACAAACTCAAGATTACGAGGATTGACGCTCCGTGTTAATTCGTTGCTTTCAGAATCGAATGGTGGGCGGACCATCACACTATTGATCGCCCTCGCAACCCCTCCACATCTGTTGCTATTCTGGAATTCCACGTCTTTCTCGTCAAGAACGTTCACGGCATTCGTCCTGGCATTCGTCCCGGGATGTGTCGTAATGGCAATCCACAACGACACGCACTTTGGTTTGGAGCAGACTTCGTGTCGGCATACCGACCAAGTGATATGACTGACAGCATCACCTATCCGCTTGCAATGAGCAGCGTGTCCTCAGCACTGATGCCTAGGCACGCAGAGCTTTGCTGGCAAGTCTGATATCATTATAGCATTATAGAGGAGATTTTGATCGTGGTCCTCACAGCATGAGCACCGAAAGCTCTCCCGGCCTTTTGCCCGTGTCATTTTACAGGTGGTTGTACAACAGCCGTCGAGGCCGGCCTCTTGCTCCATCGCAAAATACGCCTCCGGTTTACGCCTTCTTGCCCTCGTCATCCTTCTTCGTATCGTCGCTCTTGCCCGAGATGACCTCGCTGATCTGGCCCATGATAATCCCGCTGAGTCCCTGTCCCTCTTCAAGTGCCGTTTGGTGCTCCTCGGCTCGCTTCTTGTTCCAGGACTCCTCCGTCTCGTTGCCGTACCACAGCTTCTGCAGCGCGTTCCGCTTCGCCAGCTCCTGCTGCCGCAAGCCCTGCTCCGTGAGCCCCTCGCGCCGCATCTTCTCTTCGCGCAGCCGCCTCTGTGTCTCCTGCGCCGCCGGCGGCAGCTCGTTCGTCGTCAGCCGCTCGAAGCGCTTGCCTACGCGATCGTAGATGGACTGGCCCGTCCAGTCGTAGGCCAGCTGGGACGTCGACATGGAAAAGGTCGTCGTCAGCAGGAAGAACCGCCAGTCCACGCGCCGCGGTGGCAGCAGCATGATGATGGGTGAGATGACGGCGCCCGCGATGGCGGCGTTGTGGATGAGGGGCGGTGTCGACGGCTTGCCGCTGGCGGCTGGTTGTGCTTGCTCGGCCATTTTGATGATGATGTTCTGTCGAATGAAGATGTCGTCGTAAATTCAGATGGATGGTTTCTCGATTGATGTCGGCAGTTTCGCTTTGCTGTGCTCGTGATTTGGATAGCGTGATGCGTCGCACACTCAGGATACCTAGGGAAGCTCTTGGGTTTTTTCCACTGCTGATTCTATCTACGGTCCTTATCGGACTGCCTATCAATGACACTCTCTTGGGTCGCGCTTTATGACTAACCGAAATGGGCGAGAAGGCCTGCACCCTCTTCTCCACCGGAGAGCCCCCCTTCCAACCTCACGACCTATGTATGTGTATGTTGTAACGCTATGGTAATATCATACCAACAAGAGCCAGATCAGAGTAGGACAGCCAAAGTCTAAGTTTGAACCTTTGAAGACACTCGAGTCTTTGCATGCAGGACCAGGCCGAAAAGTCACCGTCGTGATCCGAACAGGTAGTCGAGCCGGGCATCGAATGTCACGAGGTTCGATCTGTCGGCGACAACGCCCGTGGCTTTTCTCTCTAATTAGACCGACAACTCGCCGCTTCCTGGTGTCGAATCACCCCTCAACTGGCCAGACTCTCTTCTCTCGGTCACGACCTGCCTGGCCTATGGCGCCGAATTGAGAGGTATGTGGCATGGTACTGAATAGGTAAGTCATGTCTGGTGTGTGTGCATGTGTGTGTGTGCGCAGACCGCTTTGCCGCGAAATTATTCATCAGTACTGGCCGTCTAAGCCCGGGGTTGCCTCTGCATGCATTGCTCTGCGTCTCAACCTTGGTACGTATTCTGGGGAACTGAATGCAAACATGAAGCCGTATGGCCTTCATCTTACTTCTCCTCAGACGTGGTCAAGCATCTAAAGACACGCATTGTCAGCAAATAAATAGTACCTTGCATCATCCAATGCCTCCGATGATCGACTGACCTGGAGCCTATGTTCGGCCTGTACTGCATTTCTTCAAAAGCCATGCAGCCGACGCCTTTGTACGCAGCGCGTACCGCCTCTGCAAGACTGGCCCCTACCGCGGCTACGGCCAAGACGCGGCCGCCAGCTGTTCGGAGCTCATCGCCGAGTCGAACCGTCCCAGCATGGAAGATTTGGATATCTACCTCGACAGTCAGCCAACACGGCCACTAACCACCAGCTTCGGATAACAAAATTTCCTACCTTCGGGACCGGCAGCGACGTCGATTCTAGCACCTTGCCTGTGCTCGCCTTTGGCCCTTTAGGTGCGATCATGACACCTGTGAAGAGAATCCCGCGAAAGACATGTCCTGGATGAACGACCATCAAATCAGTACTCGCAGAAGCGGAGCGCAGGATTCAACAGAGTGCTATGACATACCGTCATATTGCAGCCCGTGAAGGGGTAGGGACGATTAAGTCCTTCTCCATCTGAGCCATCAGTCCGCGTGACACAAAGTCCACTGGTCCATAAAACCCCATGCCCCCGGTATTCGGACCCTTCGAACCATCGAAAATCTTTTTATGACCCTGAACCGGTGGCAACGACCTGAAATTGTGACCGTCACAGAACGTGAGGACGTTTATCTCGTCACCCGAGAGGAACTCCTGGATGACGACTTCTTGGAGCCCCAACTTGTTGTCGACCATCATCTCGCGGAGCTCTCGCTTGGCTTCTTCCTGCACCTCTGGGAGAACGACTCCTTTTCCAGCAGCAAGACCGGATACCTTGATCACCACGCGGTGGTTGATAGAAGAAAGATAGTCTCTTGCGTGCTCATAGGTGTTAAAGTTGCGGTACTCTGCCGTGGGTATATTGTAACGTCTCATGAAGTCTTTTGCAAGCGTCTTTGACCCCTCCAGCTTCGCGGCAGCTTTTAATGGTGCAAAACAAGGGATGCCGGCTAGCGAACTCGACGGTTAACATCAGGCTCTACGATCCAAATAGCATAACTACCCACCCGGTTCGAAAACGTCAGCAATGCCCTCGACGACAACGTCGCCAGGACCAGGCCGGATGAGTTCAACCGCCAACGCCCGGGCCAAGGCCACAAGCCCCTTGAAGTCGTGCATGTCGGCATGTTCCACGTTGGAAACGTTGGGGGCCATAGCAGCCGTGCCCCCGTTACCAGGAACGACGACAACATGCTGGGCCGTTTGGCAGAGCTTCCACGCCAGAGCGTGTTCACGGCCCCCCCCCCTCCGATGAGAAGTACTCGCATGATTGAGAGGTGGTCAGCTCAACTAGAAGTGTGGTAGAAAATGATGATGCTTTGCAAAAAGCATCGAGGCGCTGGCGGCCTGGGGTTGCGTTAAGTCGTGTCTGTTCCTTCGGCAGTCGGCGCCCGTTCTCCACGGGTGCAGCCGGAAGCTGTTCGACGAGTTTGGGGGAAGAAAAGTGAGATTCGGGACGCATTCAAACTTCCTACGCGGGCGGCCAGACCACACAACTGATAAAAACTTAGGCTCCCTGCCTATTTTACCTTGAGGACCGAGATTCTATGGGCTAAGCGGCGACAGGCGGGCCATGGATCCCAGCATTCTTTCTTCGGGTCAAACACACCGATGGTACTGATTAATATTGTAGTAGACTTGCATACATATCGTTTAGGATGCAATGAGAAAAAATATCATGAGCTTTAAGTAACGTCTATCATGTACGCAAAACGCTTTTCCAACCAGTTGTCGCCTATCCCTACCCCCTTTGATTTCTCCCACAGCCCCCCTCAGCTCTGAGGCTGAGGTCCTTCCTGGGGCGTGGGCGCGGTGCCCAGTATCGAGGCTTCGTTCTGCCAGAGGTGTGCACCAGCTTCCTTCAGCAGCTGAACGCACTCCTCATTATCCACACGCTGGGCCAGGAAGAGCGGCGTGTTGTTGGCCCAGTTCCTGACGTGCACGCTCGCGCCCTTGACCAGCAGCTCCCGCAGGATTTCTGCCCGCCCAACGGCGGCCAAATGCACGGCCGTGTTGCCCGCATAGTCGGCCTTGGTCAGGAGGGGGTGGTGCTCGCCGACGTGGCCCTGCTCAAGGATTTCCTTGACCGTCTTGAGATCCCCGTCGCGAATGGCATAGCCGAGCGCGGTGAAGGCGGTCTCGGCAGATGACAGACGGGCAATGACGGAATCCAGCGAGCCTGGGTGGGAGAAGACGGGCCGCGTCTCGGCCGTCATCTCGCCGCGGATGGAGGCCGACATCCTGGCGCTGACCTCGGCGGTCGTCAGGTTCGGGAGAGCCAGCAGGAAGGAGAGCTTGGTCAGAGCAGCCTCAGTCGTGAGGTCCTGGCCAAAGATGACACCTGCGCGACCCAGGTCGGTGCCCGGGCCGTAGACGGGGGAGACGAAGCCGTCGAGGCACTGGCTGACGTTGACCACGACGATACCGCGGTCGACCGCCGCCTTGATGACTTTGGTGAGGCTGCCATCCACGCCACCAGGGGCGTTGCCCATGCCGAACGTCCGTAGGACAAGGCCTCGAATGTCCGGTCCGCGCAGGACCGAGTCGAGCATCTCGGGCTTGATACCGGGGAAGATGTGAATGCAAGCAACGTGGGCCGTGTCGAGGTGCTGGGTAACCTGGAGTTCGGCAATCTTTGTCGGTCGAAGAACGAGGGGCCAGTTGACGTCGATGCCAAGACCGTTCATCTTGGCCAGGGGTTCGCAGTTGGGACTGGCAAAGGCATCAAAGTTGACGGCTGAGTTCTTTGTCGTCCTGTTTCCTCGGAAGAGCTTGTGGTGGAAGAAGAGGCCGACCTCGGGGATGAGGAACGTTCCCGCAATGATGAGAGAGCCTAGGAGGTTGTCCACGGCGTCCGATTGCAGAGCGAAGATTGGCGCTTGCGATCCGGTCAGAATAACGGGCTTGCCGAGGTCTGACATCATGAAGGACAGGGCGGACGCCGTATAAGACAGCGAATCGGTGCCGTGCAGAACGACGAATCCGTCGTACTGGCGGTAGTTCTCCCTAATGGTCTGGGCGACTTCGGTCCAGCCGGCGGATGAGATGGAGCTGGAATCCAACAAGGGCGAAAATTCCAAGACGCCGTAGCGGATGTGACGAGAGTAGGCGCTCGGCGGCGTCCGCAGGCTGTCCAGCATGAGCTTCTGGCCGTCTTTGTATGCCTCCAGCTGGGGCGGGTTGGACATGTCGTTGAACGACGGACGAGGTGCCAAAGCAGCTTTGAGGAACCCTCCGATAGGCTGCAGGCCGTCGGGTGTCGGCTGCATGCAGATGGTGCCGCCGGTCATGATGACCAGGACCCGAGACTCTGGCAGGATGGACTGTGTGGTCGCCATTGCGTCTGCCGTATCTCGCGACTGTCCCTGTCTCAGTGCAAGATGAAGAGTTTGAGGGCGTGATGTCTTCCAGAGTCAAATGTCAGCCTTTGAATGTGCAGATCTAATTTTCTAGTATGGCAAGATGTGCGCTCAATTCGAGGGAGGAGGGGGGTAGCGACCAGAATGCCGCGATCGGCATTCCGTAGTATTGGCAAATAGAGGCACAACTTTCTCATTCAAGAGGGTATGAAACTCACCAGGAACCAACTCCGAGTTTGGTTTGTGTCGGTTCGTAAGATGGTCCACTGGAGATTTTAATGCTTCAGTGAATGGTGTCGACGGCAAATGAGGCCTGGTGATTCTGGGGATTCCGTTGGCACAAGAGTCTTAAAATTTGTCTGTCATGGCGTTTCGAGCGACGAGAGAATCGTGGTGGTCGGCTGCTCAGTCGAAAGCAGGAAAGTGGAGAAAACAGGACGGCAGATCCGATTCATCATCGTGCCCATCTGGACGCTCTGTGTGTTGTTCCACCAGGGACGAAAACCATGCTTCGAGAAACAAAGGCTCCGCGGCGACGGAGGTACCAACTGATAAGAGTTACACCGATGTCCTGGCCAGACTGCTGGTGGACCGGCTCCAGGAAGGTCATGCGCTACCAAAAACGACGTGAATCAGTAGTGTCCCGACTCAGGAACACGGAGCCGCTGCCAGGCTCCAGAAAGCGATGGGGTAATCGTTAAGTAACCGCGGGGAAGAAAGGAGACCACATGCGAGCACGCAGGGCTCCAGGCGAGGGGCAAAACAAGCAAGCAAAACAAGCAAGTGAGTGTGATTGGAAGTGTTGAACTGCCTGGTGAAATGAGGTTCGTCGAATTGCGGCGAGATCAGGCATGGAGAGTGCCAGACCAAAAAGGGTCTGGAAATGGTGCAAGTCAGACCGCCGAAAGCTTAGCCTTTCTTACGTTTGGTTGTTGTTGCATCCAGGAAAAAAAACCATCTTGAAAGGTTGCAGACACGCAGCCGCCAGCAACTCGGCTTGAGCGGCATCTCAGTTCAGTTCTTTCTCTCAGTGTTTTGTGTTCCTTGGGGTTTGCATGATGGAAGAGACATGCATCATACTAAGACTCAGGAGGAGACTGGTGCTTCGCTGAGCCGAAGTGGAAAGTATTCGATTCGCGCCTCTGACTCTGTTCGACTGCTCTTGCCCACCTCACTGACTTCTCTGGCGTACCAGAGGCGCAAAGAGGAGGAAGGCACCAGGGGTGGAGAGGACGCCCGAGCCACCCAAGGGGGGGTGGGGGGCCAGCGCGCATTGAAGGTTCTCTACTTGGGTAGGACCTTGTCGGCCCATGGAAAATAGACCCAATTATGAGTACTGGGTGTGTACTACTCATTGGTCCCGATAACGACTATCTTTCTTGCCGCGTCCTCGACGGTTCTCTGGACCATCTTTTGCCTGTACCCAACTCACGATCTTGCTCTCACCATCCACTGACGTACCAAGCGCAAACTCGCCATGCCTTGCCACGACAAGCAGGCGTCCCGAACAGATCATATCACTTGAATGTCGACAGAAGCCTCAACATAATACCCTGCGCATGCACAGTCGCGACTTTTGACCCCGATTCCCACCGACCTTGACCGGCAGCGCAAAACGCGGCCAACCCACCATGGAGTCTCCCATGCCCAGCAGCAACGGCGGCTTGTCGCCGCGCTCTTTTGCCATACAACACCAGCGCCCGCGGATCAGCTTTACAGGATGCTCCAGAATCACCGATTATGAGGTACTCGGCAAGCTTGGCGAGGGTACCTTTGGGTAGGTTTTCTCTGCTTGCCCTTGCTCCTGCCCAAGTCGTTCCGTCGCTAACCCTCGCTCGCCCAGCGAGGTTCATCGCGCGCGTTCGCGCAAGACCAACGCGCTCGTCGCGCTGAAGAAGATCATCATGCATAATGAAAAGGATGGCGTATGTCAAACCCAGTTCATCGCGCGCAGGCCCTTCCAGGCCATGCGTAACGACCCAAGACCACTTGAGGCTGACGACAATCCCCAGTTTCCCATTACGGCGCTCCGAGAGATCAAGCTCTTGAAACTGCTCTCCCACGATAATATCCTTCGTCTCGAAGATATGGCAGTGGAGCACCCCCCTAGATGTAAGCCACCCAACCATGCCACCCCGTTGTCCGAGTGCGGGACGCAATGGCTAACCATTTCCCCAGCGAACGATGTGAAACGAAAACGACCGATCATGTACATGGTTACACCTTATATGGACCACGATCTTTCTGGACTCCTCGATAACCCCTCGGTCACATTTACCGAACCCCAAATCAAATGCTACATGTTGCAGCTTCTCGAAGGCCTGCGGTATCTACATGATCAACATATCCTTCACCGAGACATGAAGGCTGCCAATCTGTTGATCAACAACAAAGGAATCCTCCAGATTGCCGATTTTGGTCTGGCGAGACACTACGACGGGCCCACGCCCAAGGCCGGCCAGGGAGGTGGAGATGGCAAGCGGGAGTATACCGGCCTGGTCGTCACCAGATGGTACAGGCCTCCCGAGCTTCTGCTGCACCTGAAGAAGTACACGACTGCTATTGACGTTTGGGGGGTTGGGTGAGTTGACAAGAATCCTGCTGCCGATCGCCGTCTAACCTCAGAGCAGCTGCGTGTTTGGTGAGATGCTTACCGGGAAACCGATCCTTTCGGGCGACAGCGACGGCCATCAGCTGGATATCATCTGGGACCTCGTGGGCTCGCCGACGCCACAAAACATGCCGCTGTGGAGCACACTTCCTGGCTCCGAGGGGCTGCAACCGCGGTCCCGCCCCGGCAACTTGTCCACGAGATTCAGGGAACACGGTTCGGCCGCCATCTCGTTGCTCAAGGAGCTTCTGAAGCTGGACTGGAAAACACGCATCAACGCCATCGATGCGCTGCAGCACCCGTACTTCAAGATGTCGCCTCTGCCGGCCAAGGCGCACGAGCTCCCGACGTTTGAGGAGAGCCACGAGTTTGACAGGCGCAAGTTCCACGACCGCAAGGCCGCCCTGCCTCCAGCCCCTAAGGGTGGCACGGTTGGCATGGGTCCCGAAGCGCATGGCGCCAGCGCCGGGTTCAACACTGGGGACGGCTACGCAAACGGTCGCAACGGGGTCAACGGAGGGCGCCACCCTCATCGCAACGGCGACGAAAGGCGACCGGCGTGGGCGCGCGACAGGCCAATGCCCGGTGAGCGAGGACTGCCACCACGCCCTCCGCCACCGGTGGACAGCGGTGACGACCGCGGGGGGTACCGTGACCGGAATGGCGGACGCGGACCTCGCAACCCCAGGCCGCCGGGCGCGGACGTGGATACGTATATGCCCAGCTACGGTCGTGAAGGTGGACGGCACCGGGATGACCGGCCGCGAGATGACCGACCACCCCTGGACCGACCTCGTGACGATCGCCCTCCTCTGGATCGCCGCCGTCGTAATAGCAGGGACGACTGGCGCTCCGACCGAGGGCCGGACCGGGTGCCGCAGTACGGCAGCAGGGAGAGACACACACGGAGCAGGAGCCGGTCGCCGGTCCGAGATCGCGAGCGTGAACGGGACTATCGCCGTTAGGCACAGCGGCACCCAAGAAACCAGCCACATCAGCAACAACCATATCAGCAATATCAGCAGCATCCACATCACCAACAACATCACTACCACCACCACCAACAACAACAACAACAACACTGGCAGTTCCAGCATACGGGACACCGGGGCTCGCAGGACCAACGGTATCCACGCGACCCTCGGTACTTGCAGCAGCACCACCAGTTGTACTATCAATACGGTCCATGGCATGGCGGACCGGCCCCGGGCAGAGGCGCGCATTTCCACAATGCGCGATATGGGCACTGGCGTTAAATCAGCACGGCCAGGGTGACTCTTTTTTTTTTTTTTTTGCAATTCTTTTTCCACGGCAAAGTAAAGAGACGGTTGGCATCAAGCAATCCATCATACGGCGGTGGAGTACCGGAATATCATTGGGCGAGCACGTCGTCGTGCGAGGCTCAACCAAGCGGGGCAAGGCAACTGGGAGCGGAAGGAGGATAAGAGGCGATGGCAGCGAGAAGTGAAGTGTGGTTGGTAGGTCTCTCTAGCTGGTGTAGGTAAAAAAAACCAATGGAACATGGGGACAACATGAAAGTCACAAATCTGAATCGTTGCTTTCTTCCTCGTGAATCGTCTGGGCGACCAGGCCGGCCGTGCGTCTCCTTCGCTTGGGGGGCAATTCCTCGAGGAGATGCCAGTCCGTCTCGCCCGAGGACGAGTACTCGGTCTTGGCCGGCGTGACGGGCCGCACGAGCTCGTCGTAGTAGTCTGACCTGCGTGCGCGCGTGTCGTCCCGCATGCCGAGGGCCGACGTGATGACGCCGGAGGCCAGGACCATGAAGAGACCGGCGACGAGACCGACGAGAGCGCCGCAGCCAACCTGTAGGTAGGTGAGGTTAGGTTCAGGACGTCAGGGGAGTCGACAGGGGAGTGCCGAAAGAAAGCGAGGCAAGCGGAATGGTAGACCAACAAAGATGTACAGGGGCTGCAGGAACTGTCAGTTTTGATGCAGCAAGCGGCTTGGGTGGCCGATTCGATTGGAAGGCTTTATTTACCTCGAGGCTCACGAACAAGCCAGCGATGGCCTGCACCCACGACCAGGCGTACGAGAGCACGAGGGTGACTGGCGACAGCAGGAACAGGGCGACGGCAATGACCTTGGAGAGGAGCGACCAGATGATTTTCAGGGGAAAGGCGCAGACAGCCCAGAGGATGACGGCTGTCTGCCAGAGAACCGTCTGCCATGTGGCCATGGCTGGGCCTGTCGGGTCGAGGGCGACGTGGGGAGGATGGATGGCCGTGACGGTCGTGTCCATGGCGATCAATCAGGGCATTGGCGTGAGAGACGGGGACGCACCGGGCTTGAGCTTGAGCTTGAGCTTGATACCGGATGGAAGAGAGTTGGACCGTCAGGAATGGACGAGCAGCGGGACCTCTGTGCGAGGTGGACGTCACGTCACGGTTCCTTCATTCCTGTCATGGCAAGACGCAGGTACCTCGCTCTCAGCACGGATGGAGCTGGGGGTTCCAGAGCTCGCGCTTGATGGAGCTCGAGCTTTGAGAGACGAGTCGATTGACAGGAGGTTGATGGATTACATAAGACAGGACCATGCAGACGGACAGCACGAGCAAGTACCGCGCAAGGGCACTGCTCATCCCCCAGCGTATCCACCGTCACAGCGGCGCACAGCACAGGCCCCAGGCACAGACGCAGGTGGGCAACGCCCCTCCATCTCCCACGGCTTCTGTTCTCGCCCAGTTGTCACCCAGCCGTCTGCCTGCCTTATCTCGCTCACTGGATCCGGATCTCTCTCCTGCCAACCTAACCCTGAGGTACCTTACCTCGACGTTCCGTTTTCACCGGACCCCCCCTCCCCTCCCCTCCGTCACCGAACTCACCCCAGTTCACCTCACCTCACCTCACCTCACCTCACCTCGCCTCGCCTCGCCTTCTTGCTCCTCCTCCCTCTCGCGAACGGCACATAGCATCACCAACGAACATCAGAACGGCACCCAGCAGCACAGCACACGGCCGTCGACAACCCCGCCGACCCGCATTACCCCCCCCAACCGTGCCGCTGCTGCGAGGGGGCCGCTGTCCCGCGATAGCGCCTGAGACCTGTCACGCGTAACGAGTCCCTCCACAGGATAGGCGTACCCTCCGATCGCGCCAGCTCGTCCACCCACCCACCGCCAGCCGAAACTCATCACACAAAGAGCCACGAGACCTATCTCTGCACCGCGACTGGACCCCGCGCCCGCCCCGTCGACCTGCCGGCACCCAACTGCACCCCTTGCTCGTCAACGTTACTCTTTGCCCATCGCCTCACCCAGCCACGAGGGTGCTTTTACCCCCCTCCCCGCACAGTCAGGAGTTGAGGTCGCCGTCGTCCCACCTGGGGGACCGCCGAAAAAAAAAATACTCAAGATGGGCAACAACCCCTCCTCCGCGTCCAAGCCCGCCACCCCCGTCTCTTCCAACCCAGCATCCGCCCACGACTCACCCAAGAACCCCAAGAGGGATTCGAAGCACATCATCCCCCACCGCACAACCGAACGGGTCGCCGCGCCCCCCGAGGCCTCTCTCCACCAGGCCCAGGGGTCCACCATCAGCAAGGCCTCGAGACCCCTCCAGTACAACCCCATCGCCGGCATCGCCAGCGCCTCGCCCTCCTCCAGCCCCAAGAGCAACAACTCGGCCGCGCCGCCACGGCCGTCCGACGCCAAGACGATCCCCCGCGATGAGCCCACCAAGCCGCTAGACGTCCCGACAGCCCACACCGAGCCGTCGTCCCTGCGCTCCCACATCTCCGCCCACGTCGACGGTGCCGGCCTCGTGTCCCAGAGCAGCGTCAACGACATGTCCTATCTCACGCGGCCCCCGCGCCTGCCGCTCCCCATTGAGGAGGAGGTCCATACGCCCGGCTCCCCCATCATCGCGCCGGCCGATGGCGACACCCCCATCGTCGACCCCGGCTCGCTCGATTCCGACCCCATGACCCGCAAGTCCTCGGCCCTCAGCAGCAACACGGTCGACGACGACGACGGCGAGGAGCTCATGGTCGACAAGACCCGCCCTACCGTGCCTACCCAGCTGCTCTGGACTCGTGGAGGAGAGAAAGTCTACGTCACCGGCACCATTTTCCAGTGGAACCGCAAGCAACGGCTGCATCCCGTGTAAGTTCTCGCCATCTCCCCCCTCCCCCTTCTTTTTCGGGTTCGACGGCTACTGGCTATGTATGCTTCTCACCACATTGTGCTACCCACATGCTGACTCGGCATGCCCTACAGCGAAGGCAAACCCGGCGTCTTCTCCGGCACGGTCCACATTCTCCCCGGCACCCACCATGTGCGTTTCTTGGTCGACGGCATCATGCAGACGTCGCCGGATCTGCCGACAACCGTCGACTTTGGCAACAACCTCGTCAACTACATCGAGGTCAGCGCCGATGACCTGCCCTCGCAAAAGAAGGCAGGCCAGGGCGCGTCAGCCGCGGCCGGGGCCGGTGCCGCCGACGGCCAGGCGGCGGTGAAGCCATCGGCCTCGCAGACGGACGACTCGGCCAAGCCGCTGCCGCGGGGCAAATCCGTGCCGTCTGCCAGCCAATACTTCCACCAGATCCCCAAGTACCTCGTCGACTTTGACCAGGCCGAGGACTCGCCCTCGTACCAGTACGCCGTGACGGCCATCGAGAAGCTGCCGACGCCGCCCAGCCTTCCGGGCTTCCTGGGCAAGCCCATCCTCAACGCCGCCGTCCTCATGAAGGACGACAACAGTGTGCTCAACATGCCGAATCACACGGTCCTCAACCATCTCGCCACGAGCAGCATCAAGAACAACATCTTGGCTGTGTCAGCGACGACTCGCTACAAGAGCAAGGTATGTCGGACAGGTTGTGTTCTGGAGACGGCCAGTTTTCTAACATGAGGCTACTAGTATGTCACGACCATCGTGTACAAGCCGACCTCGACGGACGACTAGAGGCGCGACGTCGCAGGGGCAGTGACTGGGGTGCGTCATGACGAAGAGAGCTCGGGCCGACTGACGATGCGTCTGTGCTGCGAGCTGCGGACACGCGGAGGCGACGATTCTCTATAGAAGAGGGGGAATCATATGTAGACGCTTTCCCACGTATTCCGGGGAACCGATTGCAATGAACAGAACAACATGCACAATTTCACAGGCGCCCAAACACACACAAGTGCGGCTCTGTGGGCCAAAGCGTCCCCGTTCAGTCTCTCCATTTGATATGTACCTCGTCTGTCCTGAAGCGCTGCGTGCACTGGCTGTCCTCGAGCGGCGTGCGAAAGCCCGTGTTGTACGCCAGCAGACCGGCGTGGGCAATCATGATGCCGTTGTCGATGCAGAACCTCTCGTCGGTGGCGTAGACGCTGCCGCCGCGGTCGCGGGCCATGAGCCCCATCATCTCCTGGAGGCGCTCGTTGCAGCCGACGCCGCCGACGATGAGGACCTGGCTGCTGCCGACGTGGGCCATGGCGCGCTCGGTGATCTCGACGAGCATGGCGAAGACGGTCTCCTGCAGGGTGAAGCAGAGGTCCTCGGGCGTGAAGGGCAGGGGGTCGTCGCCGCGGGCGCGGGCGGCGTGCATCTGGGCGGCGAGCACGTCGGCGCTCGCGAGGATGCCGGAGAAGGAGCAGTCCATGCCCTTGACGGCGTAGGGCAGGTCGAGCAGGCGGCGGCCGCGCTTGGCGAGCTGCTCAATGTTGTAGCCGGGGGCGGGGTCGTTGCTGATGGCGAGGGTGCGGGCGAAGCGGTCGAGGCAGTTGCCGACGGCGATGTCGAGCGTCTCGCCAAAGATGCGGTAGCGCTGCTCGGCGTAGGCGATGACCTGCGAGTTGCCGCCGCTGACGTAGAGCACGACGGGGTTGGCGGCGCCCGTGATGGTGCGGCCCATCTCGATGTGGCCGACGCAGTGGTTGACGCCCACGAGCGGCAGGCCCCAGAGCAGCGCGAGCGTGCGCGCGCCGACGGCCACCGACGCCAGCGGCGCGCCCATGCCGGGCCCCTGCGTGAAGCACACGCACGCGAGGTCGCCGGGCCCGACCCCCGCGTCGGCGAGCGCCCGCAGCGCCAGCGGCACAAAGTGGGCGCGGTGGTGCGCCGCCGTGTCCTTGGGCAGGAACCCCGTGCCTGGCGGGGACACGAACGTGTGGCGCACATTGGAGAGGATCGTCGCCTCGCCGGTCGCAGCGTGATGGATGACGCCGAGGCCGAGCTTGTTGGCCGAGCCCTCACAGCCGAGCGCCAGGTGGCCTCCTGGAGGGAACTTGCGGGCCATGGTGCGTTTGGAGGAGGATGGCGAGGGAGGTGAGCCGTTGACGTGAGAGAGTGGTCGTTTACGGGGGCTCTTGGGGGGTGAGGCGGGCATCGGGGGTGGGTATGTGTACGCGGTCTCACGTCTTGCGCGTGCCTTCGAGAAAAAGGGATACAGATGGGTGTTGTGGCGTGTTTTTCTCGTGTATAGAGGGGGGTATAAAATTGTCGAGCTGAGTCTCTTCGTGAATCTTGTCGTGAGTTTGGGGCAGTCGCGAGGAGGGGCAATTGTCCGATCGTCTTTCATCGATAAGGCCGACGATAGAGGGGCAGAGTGGATATGCTCTGGTACGTATAGGGAAGTGCCTAGGTCCCCAAGTTAAGGGAAGGTACCTGTCAGGTCTGTCTACCCACCTAGGTACCGCTTATGTCATCCCCGTCAGCGCCCGGCACCCCACTGGCGGCTGCTGGCACAAGAGGCTCAAGCCTGGCGCTCGCTGGTGCCGACGCTGGCGCTGCGCTGCGCTGGCACTGGCGCAGGCACTGGCGCAAAGGGTCCTACCCAGCGAAATGCTCGGTTTTGGTCAAATCCCACACAAAGTGCTCGCGGCCAAGTGGATCTCACTACCGACACAACGCTCGACTGAACCCACCTCGTCTGCCCGCCCACCAAGCTTTCGACAATTCCTTTCTCTTGTCACCGACTTTTATACCTCTCGCCGGCGTGTCCCAGAGACCATCATGCGTCTCTCGACGTCTGCTCCCGTCGCCAGAACGTCCCCAATGGGTCGCAAGCCCGCTTGCTGATCATGCCACGGCGCAGCACGGCGCACCGGAGTCATGGCCCATTCGGAGGTCCTGGTGCCGCTTCCCAACCACCACGTCTGCTGGCCACACCACCCGCCAGCTCTTCTCTCCCCTCTTTCGCAGGCCCTGAACCCCTCCGTCTCTCTTCCTCCTCTGCTTCAGGAGACATGGTTTCTGTGTCGAGTCCTCTCTGCGCAATCCTCTCCACGGCCGGCGCAAGATCGACGACGCATCCACAGTCGCACGTCGTCCCATCCGCCTGATGCCAAGCCAGCCTCGGGACGACAGACCGCACCACACGGCTCTGCCAAACAAGATGGTTCTGAACAAGAGAGCCGCTTTTGTATTCTGTGTCGATCTTGAGTCCTAGCATCAACGTTACCGGCAGTATCTCCCATCAGCCAGGAAGGCAACCCCGCTCGTCCTCTCCTGCGATGCCGAGCCTGCTCCGGTGCGTGGGCAGCCTGGAAACCAACATCCGTCTGTCGACTGCAAGCGAAATGCGACAAGTCTTCCGGTGTTGAGCCCTATAGCTTACGTTCTCGCCCTAAGGAGCTTGCACTAGCCGGCGCATCGGCCTTCTTTCTCTCGTCCTTCCATGCTCTTGTTCTCGTGAGCAATAGTGGCTCACGATGCACACATGCTGCTGTCGCCTGCGGATGCTCGTCAGCAACATGACGTCGACATCAGCAGCAGCAGCAGCAGCAGCAGCAGCAGATTTGCAGCAGCCGTGGAAGGTCCTCTCTGCATGCTATGCAAATCTATGGGCCAGTGGAGCCTCGGGCCATGTCCTGGTGTGTTGGGTCATTTGGTACGTACTGACGAGACCAACCAAGGAGGCAAGAAATGACTAACAACGAGACGTCGACAGGTGACATCTTGCGAATCACGGCCAAACTCAGTACACCTCGACTCTTCGAAATAACGCACGTCTGCGCATTCGACCAGAGCAGCTGTGCGGGGTTCTTCCGAAGGCCGCTTGCCGCCCGTCGACTGCTGGAGCTTCAGCGTGCAACACAAAGTTCATGCAAGCATCACTCCTCGCACACGGTCCGACAATGACGAACCACAAAATGTACACACACAAAAAGTCAAATACCAACATGTTTGTAATATTGCTTTGATGCATCTAAGATCTTCCGACCACAGACTACTTGCCGCCAACGCCGAACTGCAATGCAAACCCCGTGGTACACTACACTACAGAGGGCCAATCCCAAACGCCACGCCACCGAAACCCCCTTTGCCGCCCGCCTGCCAGCCTGCCACCATTCGGCCGATATCCCAAAGCAAAAGAGAAGAGGGAAGAGAGCCCACACGAAGGACCCGGGTATAAACAGCTGCAACTATACACTTTTCCACCAGCACCGTTGCAATATGTGTGTGTGGAAGGACCGCTCATCCGCTCAAGACGTCGCTCGAGCTTGTTGCGGGGTGGCCGAAGCCTGCGGAGCCTGTTGCGATGGCGCGTTGGGCTGCGGTGGTGGTTGTGGAAGCGCTGGTCTGTTCCCATTCGCTCCCGCACCCTGCGACCCATTCGCACCTCCTTCTGCCGGCCCCACCGGTCGACGTGGGAAGATGAACGGCGAGAGAGGAATTGTTGCTCGGAACTTTAACGCACGAGTATCGAACGGATCAACCTCGTACACAGGAGGGTCCTCGTCGTCATCCTGGTCATATTTCCACCGGTCCGAGGCATCATCATCTTCTCTCGGCGGTGACGCCAATCCACGACGGTCGATCCACAGGCGGTTCAGGCGGCCAATGCGCCGACGGAACGCCGGCTGCTGTGTTGGTGGCTTTTCCTTGCCGCCACCGCCGCCGCCGCCTGCCGTGAAGCGGAACATGGCCATGTCACGTTTATCTGCCGCCGGTGCAGGCTCATCGTCCACGTCCATGGCATCGGAGTCTTCCGATGTGGACGCGGGAGGCGTCATGAGATACTGCGTCTTGGCGGGTCGGAAGCTCACTTCCATGCCCTCATCCCTGACAGGGGACAAGGGGCCGCGTGTGAGATCGATGTGGTTTTGGTTCCACTTGCGGTGTGTCTGAACCTTCTGTTCCACGTCTGCACGAAGCTCGTTCTCCTTCTCCAACAGCTTGTCTGCAAGCTGGACGAGATCGGCCTCCATAGTCCGACCATCTGGTCGGACAGCCATGCGCATGGCACTTCCAGGAGGGCGCTGCAGTGTCGGCGCATCTGCTGCCTTCCTCTTCTGCGGCTGTGGGAATGGTCAGCAGGGTCGTCGACACGGAAGGTCAAACAGACGCAACATACCTTGTTGTTGAAGAGGTCGTCATCTTCGCCCTTGATACCCAGTTTAAGCTTCATCTCCTTGAGCTTAGCACGCTGCTCAAAGATCATGCGCTCTAGGTTCAAGAACTCGCGCTTCTGTACCTCTCTCTCGTAGGAGAGGATCACAAGCTGACGACCATCCTCTAGCTCCTTGCGTAACCTCTTGAGCTTCTCGGCGCTCTGGACATCTCGTTGCCTCGTCTTGCGCGTCTGACGGGCCTCACGTCGCCTGAAGCAGACGTAGGGGTCCGTATCATCGCTGTCTTGGTGAGTCTCAAACTTCAGGGTCGGGTGCAGCGGTTTGTTGGCAGATTCCTGCCGACGGGTCTTCCAATATTCATAGACCTGCTTCGCGTGGTTCATGAACTTGGTCGATCCGAGCTGCTGCAGAGGTTGCACCATCATGTCGTAGCCAACGACGGTGTTGTCTATGGAGGCAAAGGGTGCGTGCTCGGAGGCCATCTCCTCGAAGACGTCCATGATCTTTTCAAAGTCATCTTCGGAGAGCTGGCCCGCACCCTTTCTATTACTGTTGTACTTCTTCAGGTACTCGTCGTCCTCTGTAGTCATGTCATACGCCACACCAATGCTCTCCTCCACAGTCTGCGAGAAGCGGATGTAGGAGTTGGGGAGCTGGTGGTGCCCTGGGTAGAGCTGGTCATAGTTGATGTCGCTCTCCTGGGGAGGCGGAACAGGAATTTCCTGGTCATTGCTTGTGCCGGCCTCCTTGAGGATGGACTGCAAGTGGTATTCCTGAGAGTCCAAGATCAGTATGAGTGCATGCAACCATGAGATAGGAGTGAGTGAGTGAGAGTAAAAGTGGAGACATGTCAGGAAACATGCCAAGCCATATCACGTGATATGGCATCGCAATATCAGAGTGATGAAAAACATGGACGGGGGCGGACGTACGGTTTCCTCGGCGGCTTCGACGCCAGTAGCGATCTGGGTTTCGGTGGTCAAAGACTCATATTCGCTGGGGTCGATGTCGTCTTCCCTGAGGATAGGGAGGAGCGTCTTGACGCTGAGCTTTTTCACTCGCACCTTCCGGGTGGACATGGCGGTGAAGGGTGGCAGAAATGGCGCAATGCCAGCGGAAAAACCGCGTGAAAAATGGCTCAGGTCATAAACAACGGGCTTCTGTGTTCACCTGTGCACTTTTTGAGGATGAAAAAGGGCGTTTGTGATGCCGATTCGATGGCCGTTGTTGCGCTGGCCGATGAGGTGACGTTGGGGATGTTTTGCCGCGCGAAGAATTTTCGCTGGGTTCCGGTCGCCAGAACCAGTTGCCTTGGAGAAGGTCTGCGGGCGGCGACGTGTACTCTTGCGCGGGAATCTTGGTGGCGAGGTACTTGCTCTGCGCTCGGGCCACTTTTGTGTCGAGGGATTGGGTAGCTTGGGTGGCCGTCAATTACGCTTGCCTGAAATGGGCGCCGCTAAAAGGGGGTGGCCTCCGGTCACGTGCTGCCAGTTTGATATCAGAAGAGCACCCAGGCCGTTTTGCATTGATGTCCGTTTGCGTGCACTGAGCTTGTTTGATCATCACTGTCCAGAAGCGCAAGTTCTTGTAGCCTCAACCTATCAAAAGAATCAATAGCATATCAACAGCGTAGTTGAGACGGGCGCATAACAGCCTTCCGGATCACGGTTCGGAGGTTGGTTATACGCATGGCTTTGGCCGGCGACGAGTGGTGGTCCGTGCGGTGATGTCGAGGCCGGGGAGCAGGCTTGGGCTGACACGGTGCCTGCCTCCCACTCCCTATCCAGCTCTCCACAGCGCCAACTCCAACCACGACCTCGCCCTGACCTACCTTGTTCCCGACATTGAAACTTGCCCCGCGATCAACAACACTTGGGCGCCGGCCACCACAGACACTCACACTCCTCTCTCCGCAAACCCGAACACCCAACACGACTCGCGACTGCAACTCTCGACATCATGGGCAACACCACTAGTGCCGTGTTGGACAACATTGTCCAGGGGTCCAACTGTGAGCCAAGCCCCTCCCCCACCATGGACCCTTCCGACCCAGTAGAGTCTCGGAGGCACTGACCAGGCTTTTGATGGTGTTAGTCGATAGGGACGAAGTCGACCGTCTGCGAAAACGGTTCATGAAGCTCGATAAGGTGCGTTGGCTCTGTCCTACTACGGGCCGCTACAAATCCTGGCCAGCCGGCCCGAGTCCAGTCCCCCCCCCCCAATCTACCGCAGCTTGCTGAACCGTCACCTTCCAGGACAACTCCGGCACCATCGAGCGCGACGAGTTCCTCAGCCTCCCCCAGATCTCCTCCAACCCGCTGGCGACAAGGTAGGCCGGCCCAAACCCCCTCCTGTCCCCGTTTTCCAGAGCTGACTCTTGTCCCCCGCATGGTAGAATGATCGCCATCTTTGACGAAGACGGCGGCGGCGACGTCGACTTTCAAGAGTTCGTCTCGGGCCTCAGCGCCTTCTCGTCCAAGGGCAACAAGGAGCAGAAGCTGCGGTTCGCCTTCAAGGTGTACGACATTGACCGCGACGGCTTCATCAGCAACGGCGAGCTCTTCATCGTGCTCAAGATGATGGTCGGCAGCAACCTCAAGGACCAGCAGCTCCAGCAGATTGTCGACAAGACCATCATGGAGGCGGATCTCGACAATGACGGCAAGATCAGCTTTGACGAGTTCACCAAGATGGTGGAGAACACGGACGTCAGCATGAGCATGACGCTCGACCAGTTCTAGGCGACATCGCGACGAGGGGAGGAGGAAGGGATCGGTTGCGGAGCGGCTTGTAGGCGCAGGCGCTGTATATCGGGCGAGGGGAAGGCGCAGGGCGTGGAGAGCGGCGGCGGCGACGACGAATCACACTCACGAGAAACGACACGAGAAGAATATGATGGGGGGGTTCTCTCCCCCAGGAGATCTCAACAATACAACCAATACCCCGAAACGAGGGCTACGTACTGGAACGACCATGGCGCGTCTCTACTATTGCTTTCCGTGACCTTCAACTTGCTGTAGGCGAACGTGATGACGTGATCGTCGACAGTATGTAACTTTGGTCAACGCAGGGAGTCATATGGTAGTACGAATCAGACGAAGGCTTTAGACAGGTGGTAGGATTTTTGGGGTCGGCAGCAAGTAGCTTGTATCGTAGGGCAATGTGTCCTTACTGGGAGGGAGATCGGCGCAGGTGACAACGTCTTGCATTTGGCCTGATCTGGGGGGTGTTTTCCATATCCCCTGGCTCAACTATGAGGCTAGCACGACTGCCAGAGAAGTTGCTTGGGAAGCATGATTCACCTTTCGCGCTGTTGGTAAATTCACAGCTCAAAACGGAGCAAGTGCACACGGATTGTAGTTGCTGAATAGCTGACGTACAGCGCTGTCGTCAGTGGTGTGTAGATATTCCCTATCACATGTTCATACTAAGACCTTCAATGTGATATCGGATATGAAAACCTTTTGACACCATTGGAGTTTGCTCACCAAAGCCATCCTCATGAGACAGCCATGTCGACGCCAACAGTCATTCGGGCAGAAGGGCTTGACTACAGGGGCTCCAGACCATATCAGACATCTCAAAATAAAAAAGCGGCATCAATCCTTCAAAGACAAGTAACCACAGCTCGCGAGCCGACAAATCCTAAATTCATCCGACACTCAGAACTGCAGCCACCCAGCAATGTCTCCAGCCAAGTCCCGGGACCGAAACTTTGACGTAGACACACAGCCGCGAGGGAGCTGTCACCCCATAGAACCCCCTCTCCACCAACCCGCACGGAAAGAGAAAACGAAGACTGGATCCAACGCAGCGAGACAGCGGAATAGAGGTGTCGCCAACAGCGCGCCTGGAGCATTTGACCCGTTCCGTTCCCGCCTCACGCAGCTTCCCGAGACATCGAGGCCACTTTCTCAGCTCAGCTCGACAGCTCAAGCTCACCGGGCCAAGGGGAACGTTGCCTCGCTTTGCAAGATCAAATGCCATGATGGACACCGCCTACACGCTCCGGGCACCCCCTCCGGGTGCGAGCCAACAGACACAATCACACATGTCTCGAGGGCCCGCCCTGCAGTGCAACCAAAAATGGCGATTTAGCGCAGTCCCAGAGAGACGGGTATTGGTTCCGGGGTGGTCCGCCTGGCGTTCCTCAGCACACAGCCTTGCACGAACGAGACATGCATCCATTGACTGATCACATAACGAACGACAGGGATCGCTGTCCACCCTCCCTCGATGACCTTATTCCTTGTCTCACTAGCAGCTGCGAGATGCCGCAGACCAGTGGGGGGAGGGAATGGCTGGCGGAGGGGAGCTGTGCAGTGTCTTACTGCACAGGCAGCATGAGCTGATCCCGACTCCACTGCCCAGCTCGTTGGACACAGATAGTCCTGACAAGACGAGGCTTGCTCATGAGCAGGGTAGCTGGAGACTGAGGCTGAAGATTTGGTGGGGGATCAGACCCCGGGTGGTCGCAGGGCGCGAACAAGATATCGATTGAGCCCCTTAGCCTGCGTACAAGTTGCCGTCCGTCCATTCGCCTGCGTCCCCTTCCCCCCACAATCCGCAAGGCACGTCGTTCAGACAAGCACAGAGGTAAGGTGCTACCAGGGGGAAAGGGTGTGCGTGTGGATGGAGTGGCGAATGCTACCGTATGTGAGGCGTCGGCGTGAGGCGTTCGACCAGCGATTGGATCGTTCATGCTGGAACGATCGGTCCGAGAGGGGGGGGAGGAGGGACGGGGAGCAGCCGACCAGTCCGCCCCGGTCGTCCGCTTCCGGGGCGGATCCACCTCCCCCTTCCTGCCCCTTCCTGCCCTGCCCTGGCGCCGGAGCTTCTACTGTGATTTCCGTGTCGTGCAACGGCCAGGGTGAGCCACAGGAACACATAATCCCCCCCCCCACTCGATGCAACTTGGCCAGGACACTCGAGCCCGCTTGCCGCATATCGCGAATCGGTCCCGCAACTTGTCCAAGGTAGGGGCGGGCAGAAACGAGAGAGAACAAAGAATGTTAAACCCAGCAGCGCATCGTAGGTCCCCGGCCCTGAAGCGATGCGATCCGGTTCACCCCCCTCCACCCCCTTCCTGAGAAATGACAGGTCACACCAACCACAAGTCGGGGGCACCCCTGGTTTGTCGCCCATGTAAACCAGAGTCCTGGTGCACCAGGCTCCCCCCCTCCCCTTCCGCTGTGCTCCCCTCCAGGCACCCCCCGTGACCCCCCCGTAGGCCCCCTAAAAATGAGCCCTAGATTCTCCCCGAGATCGCCCCCGGGGGGACCCTCCGGCGATCCCGCACAGAGGGAGCAGCCTTGCTCCGGGGGGGGAACTCCTCCCATGCCGTCGTGCACCGATCGCACGGGCGGCGCAGGGCGGACCAGAACCAAAATAAAAAAGTGACAGAGTGAGGAGACCGGGCGATTTGCCTTGGGGGGAGAAACAGGCCCACAAGGCTCAGCGTTCCTGCTCCCCGGATCTGCCCACTGCTGTCCATTCGTGAATTGTGATTGCTGACCGTCGCGAGCCGGGGGCTGACATGGCGGATGGAGAGGAGGAGGGCGCCGTGGGGGCGCGTTTTCCCTTCGTCATGCTGTCCTGTCCCAGCTTCATCAGGAGACAATCCAGCCTCAGTCCAGCCTCCCGCGCCTGTCTCTTGTAAATAATGCACCGATCCAGCAGGTCATGGACACACACCAAAAAAAAAAAAAAAAAAAAGACTCTATCGACAAGCCCCCCTCTCACGACGACGCACAAGAGAGCCAGAAAAGAAAAAGAAAAGAAACGTGGATGTGACGCGCCTTGCATATCAGGTGGGACAGGGAACCCGCGCCAGTCCCAGGCGGTCGGTGCAGCCCAAGGTTACCGTACCGCACCGTACCTGCCGTACCATACAGTTGCTGTCCCTCTCTGCCCCTTCTCCCGAGTAGTAGGTCGGTAGGTAGGTATGCGCTGCAGCCGGGTGGTGGGTGACCTGCAGCCTGCCTGCCTGTCTGTCTGCAACCCACCCACTCCCCACCCCCCGCCTCTTCTGTGCCCGCCATGCTGCTGCAGCGTCTCTCCGCCCCCTTTCGTAGGGCCGAGACGATATAACGTCACGGTTCACTCACCCTCACCATCACCATCAAAGAGGTGCCTTACGGTGCACGCATCGTCTGCCGACCGTCTGCCGAATCTGGGCGTCACCAGAACACGCCATGGCTGCCCAATTGCCACTTTGGCGTGATCCCCGAGATCGTCTCGGCAGAGAGAAAAAGGCATGGGCCTCGGACGCAGTACCGCTGCCAGGCCAGGCTCCAACCGTGGCCAATTGGGCTGAAATGTCGGCCGAGCCCGCCACAAACACCCCCCCCCCCCCCCCCCCCCCTTCCCTCCCTCAGCCTCATGTGACGACGCGAGCGAGTGATGGGGTCACCTTGGGTGTGTGTATTGGGTTCAATGGAAAAGGATGACCACCGCAAACTACATGTCAATCGTGATTCACTCGCAGCTTGCTTTTCCCCGAATTCCTCATCTCTTGCACTGTCCATCAGGTTTCGGCAGTAGTGGTACACTAAAAAAATACAGCTCAGCCTAACCCAGCTGCCCCCCCCCCCAGATCGGCCCCCCCCTGCCTCTTGTGAATACAGAGGCCAGGGATGGCCTGTCTGGAACAAGTCTGTAAAGCAAAGGGAAAACGAGAAAAAGAGAGAGGAAAAAAAAAAGCTCGTGAGAGCATCTCGGCCTGATCTACACCACCGTCTTCGTGTTACATCGCGCACACCCCGAGGTTCCTCATACATCGTTTCTTACACCCCCTCCTAAAACTGCCATTCATCCATCCTGAGCCGGCAGCAAACCTCCGCTGCCTGCTCTGTCCCTGCCAAGGTGTAAACCGTGAGGCTTTCCTAACCGCACAACGCGTACCCTGTTGATCCCCGCCCTTGTTACGGTCCCGCCAGAAGCCCGAGTCTATCCATGACATAGAGAAAACAGCAGCGATAGAAACAAATGTGGGGTAGTCGCGGCACCAGCAGAGAAAGTGAGATGGGAAAGAAAATAATGAAGAAGAAATGAAATAAGAGAGAAAAAAAAGATACACCCCCGAATCGGGGGTGCGCCCAACCCGGAAGAGAGAAATTTCAGCTTGTCCTCCCTAAATCAACGCCATTCCGTGTGGCATCCTTTTCGTGACCCAACTCCAGCCCCAAGAGAGTGCCTGTCCCATGACCAAGCCTCGCTCGTGCAGGACATGGGCTTCGCTCCCCCACCCGTTGCAGGGAGCACGAAAAGCCGTGAGGGGAGGGAGGCCCTGCCGTCATGCGGGCCTAGTCCTTTGTCCGGTAAAAAAAAATGCAGGCGTCGTAGCGTGCACCGTCGGAAAGTAATCGTGTTTCGTCGTCTGTGTCGTAGTCGCGATGAGTTGGCGACATGGGCTCTTTCAGTTCGTTAATTGCTTCCGCCGTGCGCGCTGGCGCCGGCCGCATCCGCATTGGACCCGCCACCCTCGACGCCCTGGGCAACGTCCAGGCACTTGATTGCAACTAAATAGCCTCGGCGTTAGTTGTGCAGCTGAAGAGGCGAAAGTCTCACGACACGTACTCTCAATGATGTCCTCTTCCCATACGCCATAGTCATAGTCAATCAGACCGTGTCGTTCAATGCCGTCGCAAAGTCGCGTCAGCTCCTTGCCCATCTTGATGATTGTTTCCTCGGTCATGGGAGTTTGGGATCGCTGGGGTGGCCGCCCAGACTTGGCCAGATC